GCTGCTTGTGTAAGGAAAGGCTGATTTTCATTAAATGGATAGGGCGAAATTTTCATATAAACTTGCCCTGCATATTCACCAGTAAAGCGTGTCTGCGTTACCACATATGCGGTTCTCAATCGATATACAATTATAGATGACGGAAGTCAGTGGGCGAATGAGCATTCCCAGTATTCATTTCATACGTCACACCCTGCATCGACGTGCACCTAAAAAAAATATCGTCATCATTAGATTGAAGGAAAAAATCTTTCTATTCCCATCGGCAATCGTCTAGGGGGCTTCCCACCCATGCACGTTAACAGCAAGAGCCACAAGAGGTTCCTCGACAGCCGTCCGAAACCAACCCGACCACATCCTGTGTTTTTCCACTTGCGTCTCCGGGAAATACGATCGTCCATGGATGCAAGACGGCCTGGATGAGTGACCGAATCCTTCGTTTCTTGGGAGCGTGGCTGAATGGAAGGATAAAATTGCTTCAACACCTCCATCTGCGGCTCTACGAATAATTAAATAGTTCTATTCATAGCTAGGGATATCCCTCGTGCCCATCGATTTCTCTCCATGAAATGAACGTGACGACTCAAGTAAAATCCCGGAGATCCGATACATATGCATTGATAATTGCATCACCAGATAAATTTGTTTTCATTTGCATTTTCAGCAAATTACGGGCATGACACACTTAAAAAAGATGTTCATGGCTTCTTCGATATTAATATGAACAGCTGTTAGAATTTTCTTGTGTGGACCGGAAGGGTTTCGTAAATAATTCGGACTACGTTTCGTCTTTTGCGCCGAACAGTGAAGCTCATCTTGCATTCTTACCGCAATTTTAATCCAGATACTAACTTCTGGGCCGAATAGATCCAAAATGATATGAGTTTTGGGGGGTATGTGTGTCAGTTATAAGCCAACGACAAGCGTGCGAACTTAGCAGCATTCTTTATTTTTTGCATTTTTGCATTGCATACATTGAATACCGTGTTCACTGGACCCAGTAGGTTACATGTGTTTTTTAAAAAAAAGTCTACCTGGCAGAATCAAGGTAAAGAGCGCAGATGGACGCTCTGTCTATGGGCTAGGAATATTAGAATTATTAGCCGAAAGTTTAATATGGACAAAGTCAAGTTTTTCCATGCGTTTCTTTCATGACAACAACGAGAGGTATGTGGATTCTTGATGATGCAGTTTTGCGCAGTGACATGGAGTCGTCCCCCATACATTACTTACCTGCATGATCCTTTTGGGCAATACAATATTAATCGCAAGGACAATAACGGCCGAAAACAATAAAGCACAGCTGAACGAAGCGCCTCGCATGATCCTCGTAGCAGGCTTTGGCGAATGCTGCAGTCGAATGATGCAGACAGCTGTTGTTCCTTCATCTCTTATTCCTTCATTTCTTAGCAGATTGGGCATGGAGCAGAAGGGGTTGCGATGGTTATGTTCGAAGTCCCGAACTGCAGCAGGATCACCATGTAAGTCAGCATCGCGTTTGCAAACTGGACGCAGCAAATGAAACAAACCAAATACATGAAACAGGCAGAAAATGCCGTCATAAACAATGAAGACAATTTCTATCATGAACGTCACCGAGACGAAAAGAGGTCGATGGAGACGGATGAACCCCGCAGCGGAGATCTTCAGTGGGATGTCCCTTACAACAATCACGAATTCCCGAATTCCAGGAGAATCCGGATGATCAGATCGAAGCGCTGAGAGTCTGCATTTCAGTTCCCCGGACTGCATCGACGTGAGGGCAATAAAAAAAGAGGTCAATGTTCCTTTAAAAAAAAATTCTAATGAGGGAAGCTCCTCACGGTTCGGAGAAGATGATTGGCACATTCGATGATGATGAAGAATGGAATGAGGGCGGCCACGAGGGCCAGGCTGCTGAGCAGGACTCGTGACGAAGGCGTCCCCCACAGTACAGACTGCATCAGTTGGTAGAGCTCAGAGAAACTGATGAAGAAGGCTTCCCCCAGCGTCAAGAGTGTCGGCCATCCGAAGACGTCCGTCAAGTCGGCGGTCAGCGCCCAGATTCGTACGTACCTTTCTCTGTACATCACCATCATGATTATGGGTGGTAACAGAGAGAATAGAAGAATCGTGTTGGATCTTACCGCATTTCCGCCAGTGCCTCTTCGTTCAATATTCCCTCGGAATTATGCAAGTCTTCGATGAGATCTCGAAGGAATGACGCACTTCGAAGAAGGAGTGCCATGAAAACTACGGCGATCCCAGACATGACTAAAGTCAAAGGAATGAGATGCTGCCAACCGATGAGGATTTCCACGGTGGAATGCAAAGCGGAGACGACTAAGGCTGCAGCAAGGGGAAACGTGAACTCCCCAAGACGTTTCCGTGGTTTCCTCGGAATGCCGTCCACCTTTTCGAAGATTTTCTCTATTCGCGGACCCGAGACGAGAAAGAAGGCAATGACTACCCAGGCGTAGGCGTTGGCGACGGTGAATTGAAGCGTGGTGACCACATCCTCGAGAGAACGGCGCGATTCGTACAAGAAGCAAAGCATCTTCCAAAGTGTGGAAATGAGGACACGGTCATATATACAAGAAATCCCATAGAAGGCCGGGAAGGACAGGAGCTGGAACTGGAGCTCCGAGCCGAATATCCCAGTAAAGGGAAAACAGCCTCCCAGGAAAAGAAAGACGGAGGAGACCCTGAATGTGTCAAGGAACTTATCTGTCTTCACCCACATCTTGCATTCGTCTTTCGCCAGGCAGAACTCTCGAACGACACTGAACCCAACCGAACAATGAGACTCACGTTCTATTCATGGAAGATCTGAGATCGCACACACCTTGCGCAAACAAATTCGGAAGCTACTTCATTTGTGTAAGAACATGGATCCGTCAGTACTCCCCGGAACCTGTATAGATTATGGGACATCGAATAAATAAGGAATTACGACGCCTACATCCTATTTGAAATGATTAAGACCCGACAATGTTTTATTTTCCCAATGCCACTAATTAAATTTAAGAACAAACATAATGGAGGTGCGAGTGTCACGTGCATCCCTGCCTACATCAACGACGACTGAAGTTTTGTGTTCTCACTTCTCCGGATCTCGAGAAAAAGAGTCCCCTGGTTTCACTTTGTCTTCCGTGTACCCCGTGGAACATCCCCAAAAGAATGTCCATCCTTTTCGAATGGCATATGTTCAGTGTCGTACGAAGCGAAACGCCTAAGTCGTTACATGCATCTTCGTTACATGTGGTGCTATGTCTCAATTCGAGCGCTTGAGTCTGATGTTCACTTACATCATCTCGCCCGCCTCAGCGTGCTTCAACTTAAGTCTGCATTCAGATGTGTAACCTCGTAACGTATAGTAATGCGAGGGATACCCAATCATATCTTTGCCTATCTACATGGAAGCATTGATTTTTCAGAGAAAATATGTAGCTTCGGCTTAGTGTTAGACTTGGACCCACGAACACACCGATCTCCTGCCTGCAGTGAATTCCATGGCTATTCTCATGCGCGGGAGTCAATGGTACCTCGTGTTACGAATGTCGTTTCTTGGATTTGATGCATTATTTTAGTCAGTCGATCTGTGGTCATCTCTTCCCTCCAGACGGATGAGACAGCTAAACATTTATGATGAATATTTACTTTCACGCAGTACAGGCAGGAAGTGGGTAGCTCAATCCGTAACAAGACGTGATTCCAACGAAGATGGTCCTTGCTCCGGGTCGACTTTCCGAGGTGATAGTAGAGGAATATTCGCAATTTTCGAATCTTATTGTTTTGCCTAGAAACGGACTGAACACGTTGGGTCTAACATATGCGATCCGTCGTTCAACGTTGCGACAGTGATAATGAGTCGACAAAATTTGCTTCGGTTTAACGGTTAATTCATATGAGCCTTGAGAGCTGCAAAGGCTTATTTGAAACCTGCAAAAAATGGCGAGGACTTCGACAAATCGACAAACCACTTCTTGGGAACTCGATGAGGGATTGTTTATGATTGGAACTGTGTCTCAAGATCAGCTAATTTTTCTAGGACTTCCGCTCTGCAACGGAAGCCCCGAACGCCCGGCTACTTCTCGTGGATCCCCATAATGATACTCCGAAGCTCACATTATTTATGAATGAGACAGCAGGCATCCATTGTATCGCGAGATAAGACGATTTTGTAGTTATTGCATTTCCAGCAACATGCGGAAAGCTCTAACTAAAAAATTGTTACCTTTTTTTGTTTCCTGCTTTGATGAAATGTGGAAGTTTCTGCGACATTCGAAGACTTCTTAAATACTTCAACTTTCCCAGCGCCCTGTCCTTCATGTCCCTTTCCAATCGATGAGTCATGTTGGAGGCAGTGTGCTTATCTTCCTTGCATAATGAAATTTAATCATGTCAAACCGAAAGTTTGCTGCAAAATTTTTCTGCGAACAGGTTAGCGAAGAGATTCAATCCTGAATAATGTCGCCCTTTCCATGTGGTGGAAGGAAGGGGCTTGACAGGCTTCACTGTCTGCTTATTCCTCTCCCCTTCCTTTTGTCTGAACAAGAATTCCTTGAGGGTAAATACTCACCCTTACTCACCCCATCCGTAAAGGAGGCTTCCCTTCTCCATACGTGGGATCAGAATCGAGTTGGTTTGGTATACATGGTATACCCACTTATTTTGAAGGGGAAATAGTAATGGCCCGTGTTCTGACTGTAGAATACAGGGTGATTCCTTGTCCATTCACAGAATCAAGAGGGTAGCAAGAGTAGGACAAACCCAATAACGATTGACATCAATATCATCTGAAATTTAAAGTTGAAACTGACGAGGGTTCAGATTCACAAATCGAAACCTTTCAGGAACAGAGTCTTTACATCCAAATGCATGATGCTTACAATGCAAATGGGAAGTTAAAGTTAGGTAGAGATTTAAGGATAGAACCTGGATCCAGGGAGTTTCTCTTTCAGGGGGGAGGCTAAGGAAAATGTTTAGAATCGGTTCGTGGTGTCGGTGTGAAGAACTGTGACCTTTATTTATTTTTCAATCTCTTTCTCCAACTCACTCTCATTGTCATTGTTGAACTGCCGAGCAAAGCGTTTGAAGAGGAGGGAATGAATTTCGTTCATCCATGGAGGTTGCTTCCTTTCATCCTTATGTGTTGCCAGCGTGGGTTTCATGTGACCTTCACTTGGGATACTTTCATCACCATTATGCGCGTTTAAAACTGTTTCTTCACTTGGTGCATCATTCTGTTCATGAAAAGAAAAGGAAATATCATCGATATGATAATTCCTTGAATCAATATTGCTAAGAATCACAAAATGAAAGCATCGGAGGTGAGACCAGAAAACTTTGTATCTTACAAAAATGTAAGTGTAAAAAAGGCAAGTTTTCAGGTAAAACTAACAGCTCAGCTCCAATGCCATATCTGATATAATTTCGATATTGCTTATTAAACTCCAGGATTAAGATTTCTGTCCTCGATGGTTCGCATTTCAACGTCACCATGACGGACCCAAGTGATTCTGAAGACCATGGTATCTGAGGACGTACCAGGGTAAAGAAAAGCTTGGGTGGCTGGCACGAATAAAAAAAACCCATGACAATTTGGGCAAATGAATTTCGCGCTACATCAGTTGTTGCTCAAAAAAATCGAAATAGAATTATGGTTAATTTTTTCTTAGGGTTCTTGTATCTTGATTCAAGCAGCATGCATATGTTAATGTTATATAAAAGTAATATACATTTATTATCCATTTAATCAATTTATATTTATTTTACGCAAACTTTCATCAATATACAGGGTGGCCCAAAAAAAACCGAACGATACATTAAATGCCGATAGCTCGCAAACTGTTAAAGCTGCAGAAAAAAATTAAAAACCACAATAAAGTTCAGTTGAAGTCCTTTCCATTGATATATACAACCCGAACAGCAGCTTGTTGGGGACTAAATCAATTTTTCAATCATTCTTCCAGTTTTAGATGAAAAGATTATGGCGGGAAAATAACAGATTGCTCTGAAGGAGGAATGGATGATAGGCATTGCTGGCGAAAATGCAGTTTTACAACTTTTTTGGGGGGTATGCTTTTTTCAAATGGCTGATGTGACCATTGGATAGGTGCTACGACCTAAAATCCATATATCAATGGAAAGGACTTCAACTGAACTTTATTGTGGTTTTTAATTTTTTTCTGCAGCTTTAACAGTTTGCGAGCTATCGGCATTTAATGTATCGTTCGGTTTTTTTTGGGCCACCCTGTATATGGTGCTTCAAAAGTCACGAATTTTTTTGTGCCGTATATTTCAATCGATTTGTCATCTTCTCCTGAGCACTTAGTTTTATATTAGTGTGAGACGAAAGATACTTCGGAAGAAACAACAGGGAAAGGTTTGTAATGAGCATAATTTTTCTTGACTCTTGGGTCATTCCATTTGAGTGTCACCTATTCTTCGATCCTGGCACCTATATGGACTGGAATTGGGAAAATATTTTTGCAATAACTTCTCTTCTATTTAAGACTATAAAACTACGTTCTGGTGTCATTTTAATTGTGAAACTGTCGTATTCAGATTGCTTTAAGGCAATATCCAATTCAATGGCCGACATCTGCACTTGCCACCACTGGAACTCGTGGTTCCAATATTTGGTTCCAAGTGCATTGCATGCCCTTATTAACAACTAGTCGAAAGCCCGTGTACACACGGGATGATTAGACGGTGAGTTTCGAGTGTGCTTACTGGATGTCGATTGCTGGGAAAAACGTTCTCAATGGAAAGTAATCACAGTTGAACGTACTTGGTAAATGCCCCAGGCCTAGCCAATGCCCCCAATGATTGTATTCAGAATCTGCCTCATTTGGTCAGCGTAGGTGGGAACGTTCGGCCTCGGTACTCGGAAGTTAAGAGAGATTGACAGATTCATGATTCCCACATGCTATTCGCTTTCTTCTACGATATTCGGACCGAGGGTATCATCCAGCTGTTTCTCTCTCGATAATTTTGAATAATGAAATAATTTTCCTCAGAGAAAAAACACAGAAAACTCATGAAAAAACATGTTATGTGCCCGTGAGGGGCCTTTGGGACAGAATTAAAACGGCATCAGACAATGATGAGCATGTACCACATACACGTAATTTCAGCCGCAATGATTTTCTATGTGGTAAAACTCTAAAATTGCTAAGCTAAACCATCCGGCCAACAACGTCTGATCAAGATGGAGAGAGGGTTGATTTTTCAACGTAGCTATGTTACCGCAACGGTGGGTAATAGGGGCATTCCATGCTACCGCAATGTTGTAATGAAACAACGTTGATTCGTTCATGTGTCCCGTTGTGCAAGTGTTGAATTGTTTACGTTTGTGCATTATCTCCCCATTCTATTCAATAATAGCGCGCGTCAAGGCTAAAAGCCTTGACGCGCGCTACTATTGAATAGAACTCTAGAGTACTCTAATGAGTATTGTTATTCCACGGAAGTGTCCTTCTGAGGTTGTACCTTCTTTAACTGCATCAAAACTTGAGTTTAGTATTTGCACAACGCAACTGATTTTGTCTAGCAAGGAAGTTACGTGCCTGGCATCACCCCCTATTTTATCTCCCATGCATGAGGAAAGTTAAACACACCTTCGCAGGCCGGCTAATGCACTGCAATTCTCGAAAGAGATGCGAAAGAGATATCAAAGCCCGAATCATTTGGTGCGTTCTGAAGTGAGGTAGGCAGAATTGCTACGTGTCTTTGGACCCTCTGACCAGACGTACCCGGAGTCTCCTTCTGCCGGATTACCTCCTTTCAATGGTATATATAGGAATTCCAAAGCTTTTTCTCAAGTTGTACGTGGGAACAGATCGCGTACTGAACGAAAAACCCCAGGGAACTATACTTTTCAGACATTAGGATCGCACGGAGTCAAGCTGACAAATCGTTTGATAATATATATGGGTAAACACCCCGGTTCCTGGCCAGTCTCCAGTTGTTGGCCAGTGAGGCTTAAATCCATCATAATCAGTTAATCTGGCCGTCATCAAGCATTTCATCAAGATCTTCCCGTACCAGGACATTTTAACTAGTGTTTCCCGGTGTGCGCACTGGGTTTCCACTTCCGATGGGAGTCCTATCAGAGTTTCTTTATGAATGCCGTGCTTAAGCGGCATGTTTCGCTTAACGCTTGCGCTAAGCAATCACACCGCTTCATCAGCTTCATTTATTACCAATCGCTCTTGCTGCAGATGAAATCTCCTGTGTCCCCATTTCCATGACGAATAACCGACTAGATCTAACACTTAATTATTCATTAATTATGATGTAACACTAATTATCGGGAGGCTAATATTTGGGAATGTCAAAAGCTGAAAAATTGTCATTAATCGGCACTATGAAAATCTCAAACTACCTGTTTATTAACTGAAACAGGTATGTCAAACTGACGGAAGTGTTGCAAATTCTAAGACCATTATTCATGGTGCTATGATGCCAATGGTACTTTAAAATAATTCAGATGTAGCCAAATTTCGAAACCCAGTGAGGATAGGTTGGAGACCACTCCATGAATTTTTTAGTCAATGCACAATGCGTCAATCAGACAAGGAACTTCTAGCAAGAAGGAGAGGCTTCAGCTTATTGTAAGTAGTTGAAATTTTGAGTCTTCGAGCGAGGCCTACGAGTGAATATTACGTGAAGACTTCAGAAAGTGTCACGTTGCGAATGGTCACACTTGCCCCGATGCCCAATTTTACTGGGTAAGTGTGATCAGTCTTCCTATGCCCGAGCATAGCATGTGCATGTATGGAACTCCGAAAGGGACTAGTTGGAAAGAGCATGGAATATACTTTGCCATTATAGAAAAAATGTAATTTGGTTCTGCAGTACTGATCATCCTGGGAAAGTTGCATGGGGTGCACTGAATAATAAGTAATAGAGTTAAAAGAGGGCACTTTAGAGGTATGTAAACCAGAATTAGCATGACAGGGTACTTCTTAGTGAATATTTTAGAATACTTCGTTACAGAGTACTTCGTTGATGCCATACTGTACTTCTAATTACCTAACAATTAGGGACGACCACACCCTGATTGACCTCATATTAGATAACGTACTTTCGGCAGAGCTTCAGAGGCCTAACCTGAATTCACACCATGAAGGTTCTGCATTTACATAAATGCCAATCACTTATAGTTGGGGCAATGTTGTCCTGACCCCCAAAGGGGCTCCTTACTGGATCGGCTTGGCTATATGTTATGCTTACCTCATCTAGGCGAGATCAATATTAAAGCTCCCAATATTCACGTTTCAATTTCGCAGCCCGAAGGGATCTTCTCCGGGCGTCTATCGGAACAGAAACGAACGAAAACATTGTTCAGACCCGTTTGAGCGTTTTACATTTCCATAGCGCGGCATTATTGCTCTACAATCAACGCGGAAAAGCCACTTCACGAGCATTGCGTGGACCGTGTTCATGCAGCGACTGGAGCGAAAATGACGCCCATGCGGGTCGGCCAATCAGATGTGTCGAAAAGTGTGACCCAGGTTGGCCCGGCTCTTTCTCTCTAGGGGCTCCAGCCAGGAGGAGATGTTGGTGTCTTGGATAATTTCCCTTCAGAAAAAGGGATTTCCCAGGAGACCTTAGGATCTTCAGGATAACGTCAAGTGTTTTCTGCATGCAGCGGTCAGAGAAAACCCTTTTGTTGACAACCGGCCAGCAGAGAGTAACGGATGTTATACATGCTAGTCAGGCCATTGTAGCACGAGGCTGATTTAAAAATAGGGGGTTTTTACCTCTGGCTGTTCCGAAAGTAGCTATCATGTAAAAACGGCTCAGGAGTTCTTGAATGCAATTGCCGTTCGATTTCTAGTTATTCAGTGTAAGTACGTACTCACGTCGTCTATTTGACAATAAAGGTCAGAAGATAACATCACCTGGTCCGAGTCGGAGATGATTTCAACAAACATGTTAGGGAAAAATCCCTTGCGACCTTGGAGTTCTCCTTCCCACCAGCCGGCGCCATCCATGTTCAATATGGTCACGATGTCCCCTTTATGAATTGTGAGCTCATCGGACTCCTGAGCGTCATATGAATACACAACTAGACATTTCTTCTTCCCTGGGAACGGGAAAATGTCCGACCTAAACAGTTGAACAGTACACAGTTTTCCTAGCTATTCATTAATACGACGCTTGTCAAATTGTTATGTACAGTAGCCAGATGCTCCCGAGGACTTGAGTTTTGAACCCTTAATGTCGGTGCTTTCTTTCTGCTGCACCTTAGTTCTTAGAAAATATTGCAACTTCTACGTTGTAATTGCCCCAACCACTTCAGAACAGTCGTCCCTGCTGAAGTCATACCAGGTGATCTAGCCAAATGAAAGGAAAATTGTAAATGTGGTCAATCCAATCGTTCACGCATGTTGTGAGCCAAAAAATGTATAATACACTGTATACGTTCCGGCATTGATACGGCACAAAAAAATATACATGGTCTTTTAGTGTCATCCACATCTATAAGTACTCTGTTTCCTTTATGCTAATGCAGAGAATTTTTTTAAGTTAATGAAGAGGACTACAAACATATATTCAACATCTGATTCCTATTGTGCAAACAGTGACTACAGGAGTAAAATATACTTTGGCAGGCAGACAATATTATTTAATCTCATAGTTTGTCATTTATGACCCTTTAGGTCGAACTGCGCATAGATGGAGCAACTGGGTACTTTTCTTTATCAGGGGTGGCCCTGAAGTTGGTTTGGAATTCAATCGTAGTATATATTTGTGTAACTTTAGCAGACTTTTACCGCAGATGAGGTCACTGCACAATATTTCCATGATGTTGGCGTATTTTCCTGAATCTAGTCACTTTTGCTTCATTAAGCGTAAGTCCCTTCCGAGAATGCTGGTCTACATTTTAAGTTAAATTCTCTGGGCCACAATCGGTGTACCAAGCTATTGAAGGACATGCAACATTCAGCCGAGAAAGTCTAGGATAAGCCGTCGTTTTCATATTTGTTGAAGTAATTGGGTGAAGGTGCTATTTTCTCCAAGATTTAACGCGTTGTCATTAGGGACAGCACTATTTATAAGCCCTGCATAAATTTCATCACAAGGGTCAGATAATCAGCAGAAAATCTTAGGTAGGAGGATGGAGGAGATGAACAAACTTTCTTTCGCTGATCGAAGAATGGGAGAGCGTTGCGTCTGAGGAGGCGATGGAGTTGACTGAGGGATGACAGTGCTTTGTTTCTGGGTCGGTGGTTGTGGAGCACGGCGTTTGCGTGGCTTTCCCTTTACCGTCCGTACCTGTGCATTATCCTTATTGTTCCCTTTCCCGTTCTTCTTTTTTTCGGAATGCTGCGTCCGAGAAAAGATCCTAAATAAATATTTTCCCAAACAGACTCAACTAATCGGAAATTTGTTTTGGAACCTTGGAAATACAGCGGCCAGAAAAACTGGTCCAATGTTGGTGGCTTCCGTGTTTGTAGGCTAATAAATTCATGAGTATTCAATAAACCATATATGAAGGGAAGATAGCACTGCTTCTTGGCTCCCAATACCTATTGCTTTTTTTTTGCACGAGTGGGTATTCGTGGAGTGATGATCTCTCACCGATTTGCATGTCATTGGACCAGTTTTGCGACTTTTGTTCACTCATAAAAATCGGCATTTGTAAATCGCGGCGCACGCATTCTAGTTTCTCCAAACTTATAAGATGGAAGTATTTGCATCCTCTAGCTTACTACCGACTCTTTTCTTCCTCCGTCAGTACTCCCTTATGACATGAAACGCATTTCCAGAGTTACTCGCAAAAACAATTGTTTCTCTGCTTGACAACAGCATTTCGTCGCAGAAAACTGCCACACAACTGGGTGCTGGTAATACTACAGTTAAGAGAACGCGTACTAAGACCAAGCCTGAGGCGAAGAAGAGCCAGAGTCGATGACCAATCAAACTTGTGACTGCAGACCAGCGTATACCCAAGTAGCACAATCACCGTGTATCGACGTTGATTCAACATTATTGCGTCGACGCAGCTAACGTTGAAACCAAATTGACCTGTCAACATTGATTCAACGTTAATATGACCCAGATCTCAACAATCTGTTTAATTCGTGCGCATGCACCGTTTCATTAGTGAAGTGTTATTTTAATATTATAATATATAATAAAATATAATAGTGCCAGGTAAACCTGCTGGAAACTGGAGGAAACGAAATGCTCTGTTGCCGATGAGGAAATCACTATGATCTTCCGAGACAACAACCCTAATAGTACCCGAAAGCGAAAGTAGCAAAATTCAAAGCGATGAAAAGCAGTTCAAATTATGCTTTCATTGAACTTCGTGAATTCATCAAGGACGTGATTTTCAAGGATGTTTTCAAGGAAATACTTACCTAAAGCTTTTTTGGGAATCCAAATCCAATCTGCAATTAACACTGGAAAAGTTCCTTTCATCATTTAAATTGCATTCACCCCAAGTAGAGCCCTGCTCCCATGGGTGGGTGTCACGATTCGAATCGGGCCAATCGAATCAAATTCCAAAACGTCGACCCAAACAGCAGGCCTCAGATAGCAGATAGACCGCCCGATAGCAGATAGACCGACAGAGCTGCCCAGCAGCAGATAGACCGACTGACGAAGGACGTCGGCTATTATTATATAGATAGATCGCACCTGCGTGCACGAGATCGACTTCGGGTGTCACAAAATTTCAACAGGCATAAAGAATCCCGGGTTGGGATGACTTCCGAAGTGGAAATACTATATGAATATGTTACAGTGATATATGTTTCAGCTGAGCGAATTGAGGTAAGAGTGTCATATTAATGTGTTGGTATAATGGTTACGCTTTACGTGGGAATTCAAGAACAGGGCTCCTGAATTCCCACGTAAAGCTCAAAGTTAGAACACACGAAAAGAAAAATGACCCTATAGGTAAAAAACTTATCATTGGTTGATTTTCCCTAGGAATGACTCATATGAGTCAATCCAGGTCAAATCAGCACACTACAAAATATTACTCTCTCCGATTTTTATGCAATTTCTTTTTCAAAAATTACGCATGAAGATATCAGCACAAATGCATATTTAGAAATAACAGTTTATTCGATAATTTCTCTTTTGGGGAATATTTTTCGGAAATATATTTTCCAATGTATTTGTAATACATGTAAATGTAAATATTGTATTGTTGCAATAATGAGGTTTATACAGGACACTGTAATTACTTAATGATAATCTATGAACTCTTACTCCAGAAAAAATCCAGCTTTCCCCGCCTTCATTTCAATGCCACATAAGGCATTTTTTATGCAGCCCGTCTCCCAGAAATATTTACCCCAAACGATTCAAGTTGCCATAAATGGTTAAAATACGGCATAGATGTACCTCATGGCGCGACTATTTCAAGAAGCAAAAGATTTGTTTCTTGGCAATGACGTCGTATACCGGGAAGTAACTTGACACCGCGACAAATATGTATATGACCCAATATGTTTTTACCCTTTTGGTCAAAGTGATGATTGAAATGAATTAATCATTTTTCTAGATAATGGAGCACCGAAGGCGTGACCAAAGGGAGTTTCTTCACCCGTTGGGCAAACGAACTCGCTGGATATATATATTCACCGCATCCCAACCATCCAGCCTTGAAATAAATATCAATAGTTGTTATTGGCACGGCATAGGCTTATATGAAGAGGCCGGGAAAATTTGACAAGATCTGGATGGTTCGTGCATCTGTGTCGCGTAGAGCTGAGAGAGTATGTGCAGGATGCCAGATGCACATTTTATGCGTACGTCTAGCAATCTTGTGCCCGGAAATCCGGGCACTTTCAAATTATGTCAGTGGTTTTTTGACAACTGGAACTATACGCACGGCAAAAATACTGCAGAAAGGATTTACAGTTTATCTGAAGCGGAATAAAAGGAAGGGAAGGGAAATCATCAGGGAAGAAATGAACTGATGAGTTTTGGAGTGGAGCTTTTAAAGATAAATAGCCTTTTCCTTGAGATTGTCAATAAAATGTATGAAGCGAAAGGAAATAAGGGGAATAAACAATCGACGGAAATGGGCCTGGTCATGTGTGTCCTGAGAAAAAGCGAACAATATAGTAATGTGAAAACCTAATTTCAAAATTTTCCTTTCTTCAACCTCAACCTCTCCTCCCCCCCACCTGCTCTACGGAACTCACTAACATTAGGCGAGGGCTTAACCGATGGACTGTCTTCAGGACAGGCCTGGGGCAACCTTTTTTTTTTTTTAAAAGAAACTCAATCCTCGGCTTACGGACCAATTAGGTCTACAGGTTGGCGCAAAAGTCATTTTTTTCCCGTCATTTTTTTCGACGTTCAAATTTTATTTTCAATATGAACTATTTTCAAAAACAATGAGAGAAAAAGAAAATTCATGATCTTGGGAACACGATGAGATTAATTTTTGCTCGAAATAACTACCTCCGGCGTCGATGCACAGCTTCAATCTCTACAGGAAGTTGTCAATGATTTTCCCCAAAGTCTCCAGGGAAACTTAATCCTATACCTTCTTCAGGGATCGCTTCAGTGATTCAATTAATTTGTGGGGCTTTCCACAGGCCTTCGATTCAAAGAAACCCCAGATTGAGTAGTCCGAAGGGTTGAGATCAGGCGAAAAGGACGGCCATTTTTGTGAAGAGATGAAATCCGGGAAGCTGTCTTTGATCCAATCTTGGGTGATTCGAGGCTTGTGTGCCAGTGCAGAATCCTGTTGGAACGTCCATTTTTCTTCTCCGAAATGTCCTTGAATGCACGTAAGCAGTTTGCCCTCCAGAATTTGTTCTTGGTAGATCTGTTGATTGATTTTGACATCCTCCTCAGCGAAAATCAGTGGATTTTGCCATTATCTCCAACCCAGACCATGACAGACGTCGGTTTTTTACTATGGCCGACAACCCTGCCTTGAAGAGGAGCTTCTGTTGCCCAAATCCGATCCTTTTGGTGATTGTGTGGCTGCTCGATCGTGAAGAGTTTCTTGTACGAAAACCGTCCAAATTGATTTGTCTCGTCCAGCAGCGAATCGTCTTTTCAACGTTTTCTATCTCTCCATTCGAGTAGCTTTCATTGTGTCGGTGAGCAGATGGGCTTCTTGTAGCTTGTGGGCCTTGAGCTGGAAATCATTTTTGAGCATTCGCTGAACTGATCTTTGGGAAATGTTGACACCCTTGGCGAGTTTCCTAGTCGACCACCCAGGATTCCTTTGGATTCGTTCCTTGATTTTTTTCGGTTCCTCGGACGATCGCTGCGAATATGGTCATTATTCCTCCCAGTCTCTTGGTAACGTTTGACAGCATCGGAGACGGTCATTCGTGGCAAATTGAGACACCAGACGATCTCAGAAACTCGCTCTCCTTCTTCAAGGAAATTGGTAATTGATGGTCGAAATGAATTCATGCCAAACAAATTAACATTCGCTGCCAAACACGGCAATAGAGGGGTTTACGAATCCTTTCGCCTACCCTATGGCCCAAAAATAATTAACATTGTAGGTCTCGCGTGTTAGGCTAAGGTAACAGAGGCTTCAGGTAAAAATAATAATAATAATAATAAAATGACTGGAGCTTTTGCACCACCCTGTATTAGGATTAATCCCTAGTCTTCGAAACACCTCGCCGAAGATGTGTAACGTTAGGCCAATCGCAGTCCTATTCAGCCTCTCATGGTCCATTTAACAAAGAACGTGTAACGTTAGACCTAACATAGGTTTTTGGAGTTTCATGTACCATTGCAGTGAGGTCGGGGAACATTATGCCTATCCAGAGTTCTTGGAGCCGTCTCGACTAGCTCCGAGAAGAAAATGCCTTTAGAAAGCATGACATACAAGCTGGCCGCCACCATGCTAATTTAGGGATGACCGAATGAGATATCTTCGTATTCCACCAAATCCATCCCCAACTGCAAAAGATCGTTTCAGTCTCAGCTCATCTCATGAATTTAGGACAATATTGCATCCTACATTAAAAAGAGAAGATCCAGACTATGATACCTAGGCAGAATACATTATACAGTAAATCTGAAATAACGAAGACACGATATTCGGCAACACTGGAGGAAGGAAGGGACTGGAGCCATCACGCTACGCCTATATTAATGACATCTAATTAAATTTTTTTCATGGCGAAATTGTACACTAGATACTAAAAAAGGAGACTTTTTCTCACCTACAGGTCTCGGTACTACTATTTCAATAAGCTAAAGATCTCCGTTTGTTAGTTTGCCAGTGACGTCAAATAACAGGAATTAACTAGGCAGAGCAATAAATATGCATAAGGCAGACATTTACCAAATAGGTAAAAACGGATCAATCAAATGAATTAATTTTATCCTACATAATAGGTACGAAGGCGCGACCATAACGAGTTTATTTCCCCCATTGGGAAAAAAAACCTCCCTAGTATTAACATCGCTGGCCAAGCTCTGTAACCGACTCCAAAAAGTAAAGTACTAGAATTTAAAAAGAGAAGAATGAAAGGAAAGGAGCTTTTGAGATTTGAAGGAATCGCGGGATCCTCATCAGGGACACGGTCCTGCTCAAACCTTCAGTGTAGAGAGATCTTTTTCGGAAATCCCTCATGAGCTAAAATAAGCTAACGCCATATGTGTATTGTATTCGTGGGGGGAAGCAGGGTTCCTTGTGGATAGATCACTTTCATAATTTCCAGAAAAATAGCAGCGAGTTCGTAAAGGAGAAGTGGACCATGGACGTGGACCACTTCTTTATGCATGGATCACTTTTCCTTTCAGCCTTTGAAATCTTCCACTAAGTCTTTCATAGGCCAGCTGTGGCAACCGTCTTCCTCAAGCGAAAAGTGTATGGGTTACCCCTCCTACCTGCCAAAGAAAAGCTCCCCAGGGTACCGTAAGGGAGTTAGAATAATGTAATATATTGAGGTATTGATTTGGCTAGAATGGCAATTTGCCATTTTGAAGTCAAAAGCCTCTGTGAGACCCATGAACACTTAAGAGAATGTTCTATTGTCTTCCACAAGACCCTCAGAACCTCATTAGGACGCAGCAGGCTTCAGCTAAATGGACATGTGATACTATGCAGATCAGGAGCCGTATTCTATAATGTTCTTAAGTGCGATTTACTTCTTAGCAAGGTGCTTAGCTGGAATTTTCCCCATTCAAATGCATGGCCAAGGTTGAGCAATTTACTTAAACTAAGATTAAGCTTTTAATAGAATGCCGCACCAGATGATTTAGTCGATATTATGTAAAATCCTCACGTGAAGATAGCATGCAGTCAAATATTCTCATAATTATTTCGGTATTCCACTCCATTCAATAAAAGTCCCTTTGGATATTAAATATTGGATTATTGGATTCCCATGTAAACAATTAAAGAAAGGTATTAGCAGGACAATTAAGGAAGGAAGGAATGGGATCTCATGCAAGCACACTCTGGGTCCAGGCCTTGAAGCAGTCCGTCATTCCCTGGTTTTTATCTAAGCATATCCACTCTCCTCCCAGGTAGCACCTCAATCCCCTCTAACACCCCTCCCAAACCATTGAATTTTGTACTTCTTTTCCGCTTCTATCCGTTCGGTTCCAGTCATAAGTGAAGCTAAGAGCCTAATAACCTCTCCCCTACAAACCTCTGAATGGACAGAGCAGAACCATAAATACCAAGTCTCCTCTCTGTAAAACATTCAAATTGTTCCAGGTGAGGGATCCCTGCTTGAGAAGTGGGACTCGTGAGACCATGGTCTTAAGGCCTAAGGTTCTCTAAGGTTCATGCGCCCAGTATGAACGTTCAGAACAAATGGATATATGCCATTTCAAGGGGTTTCTTTTTCAATGACATTCTTTGCATAGGTGAGGTCTTTCAATATTGATAGGAAAGACAATATTTGCTGAAATGAAATAAAATTGGAAATTAATTTTTCTCTCGCCGTTTGCGTCATCACATTCTGCTTCAGACTAAACATTGAACAATAGGCGCTGTCTAATTCCTGAAAGAAAAGTGACTACCTTCCCTTTTTCCATAGAAAGAAGGCACTTCTATCGATGGTATCGATGGCATCAACGCTTGCAAGGTTGGTTTATCTGTGACTGTTTTCGACAGAGCTGCGTGATCGCATCGAAATTGTCTCATTAGCATTGTCAAGGGATTTTCTTAGCATTTTTTGGCTACATGTAAAGGGGAAAAAACAGAATTCAACCATGCAACACTTGGAAATGCTGATTAAAATACAAATGAAAGGGAATTAGTTTTCACTGCAGATATATGGAGGAAACGGCAGAAATCGGCGTTCCCAATACTGATCGCCTAAGTAGATAAATGAACGGGTCTTATGCACATGAAGGGACAGCAAGGGAATCTCTTTCTTTGAATATGACCTTGTATTAAAATCGATATAAAATGAATTCGAGCTGTATGGATAGGAAATATAATTTGAAAATTCCCTGCAGCAAAACCAATAATAATCATTTCAACCTTTCCATGAAACCAGTCTGTGTGGTAATGTTTTAGTTGAATATATGTAAAGGTATTGCAGAATTTAAATACTAGACTAAAGCAAGCCTCAAAAGACAAAATTGGATTCCATTATTCATATACCGGTGTATCGTTTTATCCAGCTGTGGCTAAGCCAAATGTGAAGCTCATGCACTGTCCCATGAAAGAGACTTCTTTCATTATGTCATTGACACTTTTTTTCTGTTTTTTTTTTTAGAAATCGGACAGGGGTTAATACACTATATAGCTGGTTGAGAGTATTCCTCAATTAGCCTGTTTAAATGCGTGTTCGTAGCCCTCAAGTTTGTAGTTGTATCAACACCCACGAGTTGAAGGCATCCAGACGCAGTGCAGAATTGCAAGTTATTTTCTCTTCATCAGATGATCAGCCAATCAGCGGCTTACCTGGTTGCAGTTCTTTCTCTGGGGGGCATCCGCGGACCTAATATGTTCCTTTGTACGTTTCGTCCTCAACTCGTACCTTTCGTCCAAAAGCTATGAAAAGAAAAAAAAACTTTTTCCCACAAGATTCTCTATGGCTCATGTAAGATGAACTGATGAGGACCTTTTCCAGCTCTTCCTTAAATTCCTTTGCTAGATAGGGGCAGTGTGCTCCTTCTTCTAAGAAAGACGCAAATGCTTGCTTATAAAATACGTCCTCTCTCTTCATCAGCTCCTTCTCACTGATTTCAGCTTCTTGGCACAATCGGCTCAACTGGATGTCATACTCACTCGCAGCTGAGATCAGGGCGTTTTTCAGCATCTTCACTGCTGTTCTCTCGCCTTCATCCCTTTTTTGCACATAGACCTCATACTGGGCCTCCAGAAGCTTTTTAGGAGAGAGAAAAGAGAAAGTAACCGTCCATTCAGTAAAGAATATGGAATACAAAAGTGATTATACTTTTTCCAAGTCGTCGATGTATTTTTCTAATAATTGCGGCCACTGCACTTTAATCCTACGTAAGGCATCAACAGCTTCCTTTCGAAGTCTTTCATCGCCATCGATCAGTTCCTGCTTCCTGATCAAATTCCCTCCAGTCAATCGGCTCATTTTGTCTGCATAATGCATGGCTTCAACTTCTATTGCATTCTTGAGCCTCTCCTTCTCCTCAGCATCTCTGTTGCTGAGCCTCTTCTGGCTGTTATATGCAAAAAGATATATAGATTCTTAGACGACTAATGTTAGATTTCAATTGTTAGATTAATATGGAATAAAATTGGTCATTGTAAATGTAGATATCGTTGTTTTTTCTAGTGATTCTGCTTTGATCTGGGATGAGCAATTTATTGAATCTGTGTTACCAGTTCCTTCTGCTGTTTCATTGCTTCTCCTACGTCCTAGGGTTACTTCGAACTTGTTAAGGAACACACTAAACATTCACAATCATTCACAGTTCCGAGCAATTCAACTTGGGATTATTTTAGCTCCTGTACATTTCCAAAAATAGAACTTTCCAAGGCAGTATTTGGAACTTCAAATGAATTGGCGTAAATTCAGATAAGCATTCCGGAGCTTAGAGAACTTGGCAGCAGTTAAAGAGTTTTAGACGGCAAACTTCGCACTGACTGACTTCGCACTGATCTATATATTCAAAAGGCAGTCTAGGAATGTGGTATTATGGGATGGTCATGTAAACAAGTCATCGATGAAAGATGATGTCACTAAAGTGGCCACCGTCAGTCTCGATACCTTCGCTTACGCAGTCCACTGCACTGTGCATGACAAGCTGAAACATCGCAATAGGCACAGAGGCCACTTCATTTCGTAAGCGAGTTCGAAAGCCTTCAGAGTTGCAGGGCGAGTGTCGTAAACCGTGCTTTTTAGATATCCCGAGAGGTAGGAGTCTGGAGCTGCTAGGTCCGCCGACCGCGATGGCCAATGAAGATCCCCATGTTTGAATATCGCGCTGCCAGGAAAAATTCTGAGAAAAGCGTCCATGCTCATGGGAGCTGTGTGTCACGTCGCACCATCTTGCTGAAACTACATCCCAGGAAGAAGACTACATCGGCACGTCTCCACCACTAAGAACGACTGTAAAATGCCGACGCATGGGGGTAATGTTGACGGTGATCGTGTCGCCATCGTCGTCCTTGAAACAATAAGGAGTTTTGGTTAACCGTTCTTAAGAGGACGGCAAGGGATGTAGGAGGGCTGACGTCACTGGTGATATCATCAGCAGTTTTAAAACGCGTGAGGAAAACGTCTAAGACGTGGAGCTGCTCATCCAGCCGTTCTCCCAGGATCGTGATCGCAACCGACGCAAAATCTACCAATCAAGAACGACTTGATAGTCGCTTGAGCTAAAGTACGGTGCGTGATAGTTGCATGAGTCGTTTAACAGGTTGGCGGCCATGGGGCGCACCGGTGAGCCTCACCTCTTTTCCTTTGTTGCGCCTTAGGCTTCACCAGTGCGCCTCAGTGCTGCAGAGGTTTTGTGAGGCTGTGGCCAAGGAAAGTGAGATATGTTCGTGCATTTCCTCAATTGCATTTATCCTTACAGGGGGTTAGGAAATCAATGAAGCCTACCGGTGCACCTCATTGCGCGGGGAAGTACGTAACACAAATGAGGATGCTCAACCTCGGCTCAAAGAGGTTCTTTGACGTTCAAGGTTCAGGGATGAGCAGCTTTTGGACGCTTAGTTAAGATGCTGTATGATCACAAATACATGACTTTACTGACGGACACTCGCAACTGTGAACATAATTGTGCTATCTATCTGACAGTGGCTAGAAACAAAAGAAGGTTCGCACAATCGACGCTAGATGACGCCAGAGTACCCGCTAGAGAGCTGAATAGTTCTATACCTATGACTATAGGCTAAATCCCATGGTAGTGAATGGCGGAGAGCCGCTATGATCCCAACTAATATGGCTTCTATTTGCAGCAAGTCCATTCTAAAGTGCGACATCTTCAGTTATTTGTCTTAGCTCAATGGTACAAGCCATGCGTCAGTTATGACTGACTCATCGCCTCTGGAGTTCATTCATGGAAATAAAAAATTGCAGTGCCACGTCGCAGTAATTTTGCCTATTTGTTTCACACCGCCTGTGTTGTGAGTAACGTGTAGTTACGATGACGACTTCTGCATGGGGAAAAACTTCCGCAAATCTTCCATGGCTAACTCCTCTTTGGGCTACTTCAGCAGGTTTCTCTTTTCTCATAATTTTCACTACTATGTCTTATATTTTAATGAAATCAAACTATGAACACGGAATGAGGAAATCTTCTCCTTGATATATTCTCCTTGCTTTGACAACCTTGGTCCGGTCTCTGATCCCTTTTCCTGCCTGGTTGACATATCAGTTCAGATCATTTATATACATAGTACTGATGTATCATTGCCAAGCAAGGGAGATTATAGGTTCTTGCCGTCTACGCACGCAAACAGTAAATGAATTTCATATTGTCTCTAGTGCAAAAGTTCGTGCTCGCAAGTGCTGAAATGAGTCGAATCAGAGCATTTCGTGCATGCCTTGCTGCTCTCCCTTCGTCAGTTTCATTGTTTTTCTGGAAGCAGCCTGCGGATTAGCATTTTCTGCACGTCGTTCTAATCTTTCATCCACTGACTATGACTCCAAGACTTCTATCTTTCTCTTACATTCAGTATATCCCTCCCCAGAATAGTGAACCCTTTGAGGGCCACGAACGCACATGTATGGTTGGGGTTTATAATGTGTGGAGGCCATATTCATTTTCTTTGCCAGAAACTGGCGCCTCTAACGGCCACGTTAGTAACTATTTGGAGAAAAGAGATGTATTTCACCTAGTATTATCTTCAGAGCATTGGCGGTGTAACCGTAGGAGAAAATAACCTGGGCTCTGATGTGATACCCTCTCCACTCGCGGTCCTTCCACCTTTTATCGTAGCTTTTGAGGGGGCCAAAAATAAAAACAAATATTGGAGCACCAGCTCAATGCTGCAAACTTACGTGAAGCACTGTCTTAAACAGGCGACAAGACTGGTAACGCGACAAACTATGACACTGTTTGGTCAAGTGATATTGTTGTGCTAGGTTTTAATTGTTTATTCTTCACTCGATTGCGAGTGAATTCATGCAATTCAAGCAAGGCTTTATCATCAGCAGTTTTTTAGTTATAGTGATATCAAAATTTGAGGTTTAAAGATGACCTTAATTTTTTAGCACTGTGTAGCATTACACCTACTGGTCTGCTGATGCTGGGATGTGGAATTTTCGGCTTTCCTGGGAGAATAAGGCTGTAGGCCAAATTTAATCACAATCTGTTTTAGATAGGTGTTACCCAATTGTTGATATTCCTTAGAATTTTGTCTTTTCTAAGATGATGACTGCAGAGTCTTAATATTGTGAGGTTGCAAGGAACCATAAAGGACTTACTCCAGGTATATCTGAACATTGGCATTTTTTGAAGAAATTTTTTTTTTTAAACGGATGTTAGCTGTCAATGACTTTGCCTTCCACTTTGCTTTTCACTGGAGTGACATTTCCATTTAAAAAAAAAACATTAGTCTATTTCCATAGTAAACTTGGAAATTCTTGATGATTAATTTTGCATTTTAGGTTTAATTACACATTTTTGTGACATAGTACTTCATCTTACATATATGAAATAATATGACAACAATTTTGAACGGTTTAACCTTTCCTCGACCACCAACCACAACCCCAACCCCAACTTCATCCTCACCCTCACCCTGTCTTTGGGTGAGGCCTAGTCCTACCTTTTTCATTAAAAAGAAACTCAATCCTCGACCGACGGACCGATTAGGACTATGATTAATAATTCCTGGTCTTCGAGACATTTTGTTGAGGACGAATATCGTTAGCCCAATCGCAGGCCTACTCAATCTCCCATAGTCTACGAGGTGTGGTCAAAAATAAGTGGCAGCACTGGTGTCATGGCTGCCACAGCGCATTCATCTTACTGCTGACGCAAGTGCTTGTAGTTATATCCAAGACCTATTGACAGACCACTTCTCACTTTCGTAGGGTGGTTGTGGTGGCCGCATGACCTCATATTGGTGGGAGATGTTTTCAAAGAAGCATATTTACTTCAGTAAAACGGAGAGACATGGGAAGTTGAAACCTGGCATGCACGTGCCTACTGAGACACTCAGTTCAGGAAAAATGTCTAGTTTCAGATCCATGACGTAGGGGCATATTTTTCGGGGTTGACGTTTTTAAAGATGTGTTTGTCCTAACGAAACGGGCAAAAATAAAAAGGTGGAACTTGCCAAATGCATAGCCGACACAATGCTGAGTTCAGGAAAATTCTAAGTTTGCGGTGCATCCCCTCAGGTTATAGCTTTTCGGTCGTTAGACGTATATGTTGACCATCATGACTGAGCGACTGACTGACGCTTATTCTATGTTTTGATATTATGGATGGATGAAACGTAGTTTGTGGATGCATTATGTACTAGGATGCAGAGTTAAGAAAATTTCAGACTTCAGAGGTATATGACCTGGGGGTTCGAATTTTCAAGCAATTGTTTTTGCTTCTGTGAACAGGATATACATGAGAAGCTGAAAATTGGCATGAATACGACAGCTAACACACTGAGTAGAGAAAAAAAAGTTGTTTGTCAATACATTCCCTCTGGGCATATCTTTTGGGGGTGACATATTCATTTTTTGTCATGGCGAATCCAGGAGAAACGCATGAGTGGAGCTTGACACATTTAACTGACACAATGTTGATTTAAAAAAAAAAGTTTTTTTTTTGTGCATCCCCTCAGGCCACAAATTGGGGGGGGGGGGTTGTTTTGTTTTTTCAAAGATATTTTTGCACCAGCAAAAAGTTGGTGGAAATTTGGTGGACATGGAGTTCTCCGAGTACCTATTTATATAAAAATCTAATTTTTTTGGTAAATACCGTCTGTGGACATTTCGTGAGTCCAGAGTCCAGTCATTTTCCAGAATCATTTTCAATGCTACAAAACAGGGAGCAATAGGAAGTTGAAACTAACGTCAGAAGTACCGATTCAATTGCTGAGTGCAGAAAAACTTATGAGTGCAAACAAACTCGCTAATATATTATGCAGAGCACAGCACTTCACAGTTCAAATTAGACGTTTTAGTTCCTCGCAATTCTGAGATAGATAAAAGACGCGTCCTCCATGTCCTGAGATTGTCCCGCTTCCTAGCGTGCACAAATTACAGCTTATTCCATAACTGCCCGATTTATGAAATAATTGTTAAAACCTATTACTCATAATGAGCACGTCATACTCGTAATGAGTGAAATAACATTCACCGTGCGTTCGCTTTTATCCATGTCACCTGCACTTGGAGTATTGACCTTTTATTTTGTAGAATGATTATATTCTGAGCCAGAAGAGTTGATGCCATCACTTTCTCAAGAGGGAAGTATAAAACAGCAACAACAATGAAAATTGCATTGATCTCACCTACTGTCACCTGAAACTGGAATATTTAATATGAGAAGCACTCGACCACCATCAAAATTGTAATGTTCATTTTGTGGCGGCACAGTGGTATTTTGGGTTAAACTACAAATGCTAGGCTTTTTGAGCTCGCTGGTTTCTTTACAGTGCCAACTACTGTAGATGAAGCTGGTACGAAATCCTTACAGGATTTTATAGGCCAGATCAATTTCCCTGAACTTCTCTGCAGACTTTGGGTCCCCACGGTTCTTATCAGGATGGTACTTGAGTGCAAGTTTTCTGAAAGCTGATTTCACTTCGTCAAAAGTTGCATCCTCCACCAACCCCAGCGTCTCGTACAGACTCCTCCCAGATGTCTGAGAGTCAGAGTCATCCATTGAAAATGGTCACACCATGTCTGCAAATGCATGGAAAGAAAACAGTAAATGAAAAAGTTTTGAATCGGGGTATATACGAGGGGTGATCGGAAGAAAATATACTATCATATTGTGAATCGATTCACAATACGTGCCATAAATCGTGCCAACGGTTATATGGGCACTGTGAGGACAGCGTTTTCGCACCGCCATCAAATCCATTTCGAGATGAGACATGAATGAATCAGTATTTCCTCAATGTGGAAGTGAGACAGGTCTCAACAATGTCCGAATATGTATTGCGCATGCGCCAATCAAATGACGCACGCGAATCAACAAGCTTGCGCCATTTGATCACTGAAATATTCGGTTAATCATCAACGCGATATCATGTCATCCGGTATTGAAATGGCAGTTGTCCCAGATGCTGGTCTCAACATGGACTCTAGGCCGAGATTAGATAGGGACATTCTGGTCACGTGGAAGGAAAGAGACAGCATAGTCATTGTAAGCAAAGAAAAGATGGTTAGTAGTCACTTCGTAGATACCTCCCTGCTACCCACAGGATAAGATTCAATATTTTTCTAGCGAAGGAGTCATTTCTCATTGAGTCACATCAACATGTCAACTTTCTCCTATTCCTTGCCAGGGTCAGAATTATCTTCAATCTTATTGGATTGGGTTGCCTCTTTCGCCGAATATATCCAGGAATTCAAATACTTTTCCCAGTGTCATCTGTGGAGAAAATATCAAGTACCAATACAAGAGTATTAGGGACGCGTGCGTCTTATATATGTAACGTAACTCCCTGTGTTGGTGATTTCTGGACATCTCACTTCCGGGTCAGGAAACCTTTGTTCTAATGTATTGCAATAAGTCTCACCCGACATATGTTGATGTAATGTTGACTGGACAATATCCTGGCAATGTTTATCTTCTTCAGGGGTGAATTTTTTCACAGGGAAAATTAAATATATATATATATTAATGGTGTGGAGTACAGTGCATGCTGGGTAACAATGATACCGACCGAAATAAAAACACAATATATTAGCAACATATTTGGCATATATGCAGTTAGGGATTTAAAAATATCAATTTCAAGAGCCGCCAAGCGTCCATATTTTTGCCAGTACCCATGAATGGGTTCTATTTTCATCTTCGAGACAAACTTGCGATTCTTATAGGTGTGGCCAGATACCCAAGTAACACAAGATATTCCAGCAACGTTTAGGAATATTGGCATTACGGAAAAGCGTAGGCTTCACTGGTCCTGAAGTGGACCGATATTCGACCAATATTGAATTATTTATTTCATCCTTTCGTACCATATACTTTACCTCTCTACTCAGACATTCCCATCAACAGGACGAAGCCTGTACTGGTTTTACCCTCTACCCATTCATAATACAGTATCTGTATATTGGACAGGCAGGAAACAGTACATTTTTGGAGGTGATCTTCCCCTGGATGCGCAAAATTGCACAATACAGGAAAAGGTCCGACCGCACTGTTCTATGGAGTGTCCACGAGAACAAGCCTTCGTTTCCTCATCTAGTACCCAGAATGATGATATGAAGTATTGATATCGCATCTCTCTACCATCGTTTGTATTGTCCTGTAGGATGAATTCGACGAGTTCTTGGAAAGGGTTCTTTTTGGGAATATGAGCTTTTCTTATATTGACCCCATTAATCTGTCTGGAAAATGAGGATAACAGGTGATGAAGTGTCGGTGTTCATTGATTCCTATAATGAGACAATGTGAGACATATGGCAAGGTACTAAACATTCCTGTGCGGGACTATTCCAGAGAAAGGGAGAAGGGCACTTTTGTGTATTGTGAGAAAGTGTTGATTGATTCCTATAATGAGACAATGTGAGACATATGGCAAGGTACAAGACATTCCTGTGCGGGACTATTCCAGGGAAAGGGAGAAGGGCACTTTTGTGTACTGTGAGAAAGAGAGACTAACGTCTCCATCCCGTGGCAAGGAGGACAACTTTAAAATTCTCTAAAACTTCTAAGTCCATGCTGTATCAGAATGTTGTCGCTACGTTGTCGATGTGAAGAGTGTCAACATTCTCTCAATGTTGATAGCCAATGTTACAATGACATTCGTAGAAGTGTCACGGCAACATTCCAAGTGAAAACATTGAAGCAATGTTTTCTCAATGTTGTACAGCAACTTGCAACATAAAGCAACATAGGCAACATTTCGGAAACGTTTCCTCAACATACTGTGTTACTTGGGTAGTCGTAAGTGGAGGAAACATATTGGGAGTGACATTTTGGCAGTTAGGCGTTGAAGAAGCTGGAAGTTCCACGACATGCGCTACTTCCAGGAAACCTGCCATTTGGTTGTTCTTCCCCTTAGTGGGATTGCGTATAGATGAACATTTTGAGTTGAAGCCAGAAGTGAGGCCCAGTCTCTGCTGCTGGTGTTGAGAGCCTGTGGATATATTTTTTCAGATGGTGAGGGCACAGTTGGCGACCTAATGTTCAGCATCACCCACTGCTCCACTCGTCGAAAATCACGTGACCCAAGAAGGAAAACTATCTCAAGTCCATTGAAATTGATATGTTAGGGCAGAAGTTAAAATGCGGCTTCCAGGGAAAATCTTATGCTCGCAATTTATCTCTCCTTCCCTCTACCTTCCCTTCGTTTCCCTGGATTGCGAACTCTGGAAGATAAAAATGGGCTTGCTGGAGTCACAATCCCGTAACGTTTGGACGAGTGATTTTGATAATGCAAGCATGTGTGGCTTTTGATTTAAATCATAAAAACTGATCATTCTGAGACACCGTAGGCACATAACTTCTGAAAATAAGTGTGTCTCTCACACAAGCACAAAAACGACGTCTTGCAAGGCCCACTGGGGCTACTCTCTTGGATGTCTGAGAAGGAACTAGGTGGAGACGCAGATGCTGGCAAAAGAAAAACTAGAAAGCACCCAAAATTGAAACTCGACCGACGGAATGGTGTCAGTCGGTAATTGATATTTCTTACGGCAAAGTCTTAGCTTATCGGTGCAGGAATACATAATTGAAAACTGATGAAACATATTTGCTTCACTTTCCTATGCTATCGCATACATGTAATTGTTCGAAACACATCGGCTGGGCATAGGTGATCTCTCACATTGATCTATCGTTGAGTTGACAAGAATTAGCTGAGAAATGTCCAGCTAAGAGCTTGATTTTAAAAATAGAAAAATGAGGAAAGTGGAATGTCCTCACCTCTTAGCCAATGCAGGAAAGTGGATTTTCTTTAGAGGATTCCGAAGATCCAGATTGCTTCCCCACGCATCTAACCCATGTCCACCTAATGAAGCACTGGGCTGTTATCTTATCGTTTTTTCCTCTCAATGGACGGTGCACGCACTAAAACTGTTCAAGTCATCAATCCTCATACTCTTGCGTCGTTGTTCTTTGATGAGCGTTTCTGGACTTGGATTTTTCATCACGGATTGTTCGTCGACATTCTTCCGTAAGAGTGTACGTACGGCTCTAACATACACAAAATGCTATGAAACATAAAAAACTGCACACGAATACAAATTGTATGGGTGAAGCTGACTATCATTTACGTATTGCATTTTGACTGCATTGAGAAAATGACCTAATATAAAATTAAAATAAATTGCAATTTTTTCTCGATTATGAATTCTCATGGCATTGTGCTCCATAGTCCATTACAGTGTGCGCTATTTTGCACGGCTAAACTTTATAGGAAGCCCTCTCTCGATTGTCAGATATATAATACATCCATATACATACTCGCAATAAGCCAATCTGTCATTATGTCATTGTGTAATTCCGGGAAACTCCTCCAAAACGGATGAACGAATTTTAATAATTGAGGTTTCAATCGAAGGCTCATGACCTGGAGGCGAAACTTATTGTGTCAAAAATTCAATAAGTACGCAGCGAACATGGTTTCTATTGGTTCTCCTGTCTTTCTGCGCGTCAGAGGCCTGCATGGGTTCACTTTTCCGAGTTGAATCACGATTGGCCCGATTCGAATCGTGGCCCACACCCGACCCGGAACGCTATTGTCGACAGAGCTTTGCTGCTCTGAGCCGCGTATTGTGTTGCGATGACACATGGGAAACCGTGCAAGCTCGACCGGGATGCGAATCAGCTCGATAAAACCGATCTGACCCGTGCTTCGCGCGTGAAGGTCGGTTGACAATTTAGTTTTCGGTCGGGAGCGAGAGAATGCGTCATTTCAGATCTCGATTTCTGATGCTCAGAGGACAAAACAGGGTTCAGACCGGCCCGTTTGCAATCAAATTTCAGGTCGAGTGTGGGTCATGACGTGTGAGCATGTGTGACGTGTGAGCCGGGAACCGTTCCCTATAATGCTATTCTTATTGCCGAAAATTGGCCTTATAACATGAAAATGGGACGATTTTACGGACTTTTGATTCAAGAAGCATCGCCTTCGGTCATAAGCTTTCGATTGACATCTCACCCATGAAAATACGTTTACCAGTCTAGAAGGAGTTTCCCCAGAATGACACCCTGACACAGAATTTTATCCTCTTATGCATTATGTATGATATATGCCTATGGATGAGAGATGTCCAGGCATCGATTTCACATAACTCATCCCTAAGAAAGAGGTTTTTTCGGCGTATAAGGAAATCGCCATGAGTTTCAGATTACCCAATAGACAGTATTTCTATTGCACGGTTTCCCATGCCAAAGGCACGCTTTGCCACCCGATCTACTTGCATAGAATGCCCTTCATGCTGAACCGTTCTACCCAAAAATGAGTTTCTGTGCAGATCTGCGAGAGTCCCTTCCTCTCCCCTTGGGGCAAATACGTCATCATAGGTCAGCATAACTTGCGGGCCTAAGAGGGCTGCGGGCCGGCTATGTCCGCACGCCACGATCAGCGGTTCGGAGCAGGAAAGCTCTGTCGACGATCGCGTTCCGGGTCGGGTGCGGGCCACGACTCGAATCGGGCCTATCGAGTTTGGGAAAACGGGGAAATGGGAATTATCTTCTCATCGATGCACCACTTCTTTCATAACCAATAGTTTTCCGCGTAGGTTCATTCCATTACTGGGATTGGATAAGTCCGCCTGCATTAATGCGAAACTCCATTAATTGTTAAATTAATTATGGAATATAAGAAGTTGGTGTGCCTATTTCCCGTCCCAAGTAATTCCGTTGAATGGGTGGCTGTAAACCTGCGCAGTTTT